TAATAATGCATGCATGCTGGCTGGGCATGGTGGCTCATGGCTATAATCCCAGCACTTTGGGACACTGAGGCAGGAAGATCACTTGAGTTCAGGAGTTTGAGAGCAGCCTGGGCAATGTGGTGAAACCCCGTCTCTACCAAAAATACAAAAATTAGCTGGGTATGGTAGCATGCACCTGTAGTCCCAGCTACTTCGGAGGCTGAGGTGGGAGGATCACTTGAGCCTAGGAGGTGGAGGTTGCAGTTAACCAAGACTGTACCATTGCACTCTAACCTGGGTGACACAGTAAGACCGTATCTTGAAATAATAGAATAATAATAATAAATGCATGCTAAATGTGTATTCTCTGTTTTAAATTACCCTGAAGTAAAATGAACATTCCAGGAGGATTTCATCTTGTGATTTTCAGTATGCCTGGCACGCCTACCTCTACCAACCCACCCACCAGGTATGTAGTCCATATACCTGTCTCTATCATAAATATAAAATCAGTCAGATATGGTGACAAGTGCCTGTAGTCCCAGCTACTTGGGAGGCTGAGGTGGGAGGATCACTTGAGCCTGGGAGGTGGAGGTTGCAATGAGCCAAGATTGTACCACTGCACTCTAGCCTGGGTGACACAGTGGGAATAATAAAATAATAATGCATGCTAAATGTGTATTTTCTGTTTTAAATTACCCTTAAGTAAAATGAACATTCCAGGATGATTTTATCTTATGATTTTCAGTATGCCTGGCACGCCCACCCTTACATGGAGAGTAAACTATCAAAAGGATTTTAATCAAAGGAATAATGTGATCATATCTGCAGCTCAGAGACCTAACTGGCAGCCTTTTGTAAGACAAGTTAAAGTGGGCAGGACTGGAGATAAAAGATTTTAATCAGGGAGTAATGTGATCAGATCTGCAGTTTAGAAAGACCTATCTACAGTCTTTTGGAAGATGCGTTAGAGTAGCCAAGACTGGAGATACAGAGTCTGAACAATATTTTCAGTGAGAGAGGCCCAGAGCCTAAACTTTAGGAAAGGGTGGATGGATGCTGGGAAGACAGAATTGGTAGGATTTAGTATCTGATTAGGTATGAGGGGGTTAGGGACCCAGAGGGAGAATAGTTTCTAATGGTTCCTATATTCCTGGCTTAGAAGAGAAACAGGTGTGTAGGCTAGAATGATTGGATTTGGACATTCAAGCAGCTGTGGCTCATATAGGTAGAGATATCTAGCAGGAATCTGCAGCAAAGCAAAGAGGTCTGAGCTGAAAATAAAACTTGCTTATGTTATGTACATAAAAGTGGTGGTCACAGAGAAAGCAGGTAGAATAAAAAGAAAAGAGGGTTAAGGACAAGTCCTAGAGAATAACATTTAAGAAGAAGGCAGAAGTATAAAAGTCCAAAAGCTGCAGAGAAGAAATGGCTAGAGGGGGAAATGAACAAGGAGAGCATGTGCCATAGAAACAGTGGGGGAGAAAGAGACTAAAGGAAATGATCAGCATTGTTAAATGCTGCAGGTACATTAATATATTGAGGATTGAAAAAACTCTGAATGTAGCCATTAGGTCAGCAGTGATATCTGAGTTTCTGAGGAATGGTAAGTATAAGCCCAAACACAGGGCTGAAAAGTGAATGGGAGGTAAAGGAAGAAACAGTGACTCTAGGCACTTTATTTAAAGAGCATGGCTGTGAATGAGTCAGTGCGAGGGGATGTAGGGTCAAGAAGGATCTTTTAACATGGAAGAGACACTAAAATGGCACCATCTAGGGCCATGAAATGTAGGCCAGAGAAAATGGGCTACAAAGGATAGGCTGGGTGTGGTGGGTCACACCCAGCACTTTGGGAGGCCCAGGCGGGTGGATCACGAGGTCAAGAGATCAAGACCATCCTGGTCAACATGCTGAAACCCTGTCTCTACTAAAAATACAAAAAATTAGCTGGGCATGGTGGTGCATGCCTGTAATCCCAAGCTACTCAGGAGGCTGAGGCAGGAGAATTGCCTGAACCCAGGAGGTGGAGGTTGCAGTGAGCCGAGATTGCACCACTGCACTCCAGCCTGGGTAACAAGAGGGAAACTCCGTCTCAAAAAAAAAAGAAAAAAAGAACAAAGGATGTCTACATGGGGAATGTGGGCAAGAAAAGAAAAGATAAAGAATCAAAATGACCACAAACTAGGGAAATTAGGGTGAGAATTAGGGAAGGCAGTAGAATGGCAGAGAAAACACAAGAAAGCAAGCATCCCACGGCACTTTATATTTGATTCAATAGGAAAGGAAAAGCATAATTTGTCACCTATGCTGGAGGAGTCTCTGGTACATACATCTTACCCAGGGAGAGAAATGTCTGAGAGTGAGAAGGTGACTTCTAACACACAACACGTCAGAATTGTAACTTCTGATAACTTTGTGGTAACTTACCATCTCTTTGATGAATCTTAGAGAAAGATGTTTTAGAAAACAGTTTCAAGGTTGTTGTCTAGAAGGATGTTGGTATGTTAAGTTTTAGGTGACAGAGAGAGAATCTGAGGAATAGTTTATAGGAATTTGAGGGACTGGGGGCTGACCTAGGAAAAATTTGGCCTATTTGTGTAACAGTCATGCACCAAGGAAAACAAAACAAAACAAAATGGCTGGGGATAAATGGGTTTGAAAATCACTGCCACAGACTTTAGACCTAAAATCGCTGGGATCACCAAGTGAGAAAACTGAGGCTCGGGGAAGTGAGGTGCCTTGTCCACGATGTACTTAGGGAAGCTGCCATGCCCAAATGGCATGTGACTCACTGAGAGACCGCAACAGGAACCCAAGAGCTGCCTCAGTGACACATAGGAGTTCAAAAACAAGAGAGAGAAGTTAAAGGGAAGAAGAAAGGAACTTTGCCCTGTGGGACAAAACACATGCTGAAGTGATGGGGCCCCATGGTCCCCTAAGATAGGTTGGAGTTTGCCTTCTGTTCCAGTTAGAAAGCCCCATTTGCACAGTGGCAAGGCCTTTCCAAGGGTTAGTCCTCACATGTTTGTTTCCAGGCAAGGGCCATATGGAGCCTCCATAGGTAGGCACTGTGAACCCTCAAGACTGAAGAGAAAAGGACCATAGCCCCTGTTCCTACTCCTGGCCCAATGCTAAACTTCAGTAGGCCATTCCCCCAATTCTGGAGCAGATAGGAAAGGCAGATGGAAGAGAATGTACACCCCTACATAGTTCATCTGGACAGTAACCAGGAGCTGACCCAGGGTGGGCGTTTGGACGAACTCAGCCTCCGTCCTGCCTGGTGCTGGGATCAGCTTACACAGCTTCTGTGTCCACAGGGCACAGAGAATACATTGTCCATAAGGAGGATTATTCTGTACAAGAAGCTCAGACAAAGGGAGAGGTTGTTTCCAGCTGCCTGGGGGAGATGTGAAGGGGGTGGAAAAAGGGACCAGCCTTGCACTGGGGCATTCCTGCAGAGTTCAGCTTCTTCTCTGTGGCAGCACAACAGTAGGTAGGCAGTTACAACCCCTTCAGCTCAATCCTAATGCTGGGACCCATTATGGAGTTTTAAGGAGCACTTGGCTACAACCTATCTATCTTGGCTGTTTCCCAAAAAAACGACAGGGTTGAGTGAAGTGCACCAGCTAAGTAGGGCAGCAATAGACACCAGAAAGGGAACCGAATGGGGTGATTAGCACAATGAGCCAAAGAGAGATTCAGCAATGACTGAATCCCAGGCTCAGGGCAGAGCTGGAGAGGGAGAGGTCATAGGCAATGGGCCTTATGCTGACATTGATTGGATAAGCTTCCACCTTCAGCAGGATGACCTCTGTGCTGTTGTAAGTTCTTGATGTTTCACAGCTGCTGCTTCTTTCTCCATCCTAGACACAAACCTAGGAGACAATGGCCTAATCTCTTTCTCCAGGGACCCAAGAGTAGGAGAAAGCACAATCTCCAAGCCAAACGGAGCAGTCAAAAACAGAAATGTTACCAGAGTAGGCCAACAGTCACATTTTGGAAATCCTAAGTCTGAGCCAGTAAGTAGGTTATGCCCCCTTCTTCAAATGAAATTCTGTATGTATTCCCTCCTGAGGGAATGAGTATGTTAGAGGTGGGAGATACATACATCCTCTATTGAGGCATTTACTAGGCTGTATAGACTCCAAAGTAGGAGATGCTACTGAGGTGTAGCCCAGATAATTTTTTTGAGGATTGGGGGATAAAAATGACAGCATGTGCTCCTGCAGCGATGAATGTAGAGGAGTCCCTCTAGAGGAAGGAGTATTTGCTTAGGGTCACAAGATGTAGGTGACTTCCTGCATATGTTCCTGTTGGGGCAAGAGGACATTTCCATTCTTGGATAAGGAATCCATTTTAATAGTATGATGGAAATGAAGTGAGTATTAGCCTGCGACACAGAAAAACTTGGGCTTGGTGCCATTCAATAGAAGGAAATCTTTTGGTGGAGGAAAGGACAATAGTTACTAAAAGATGCTCCAGGGGTTTCAGAGAAGCACAGCTCAAACTCTACCCAATATGCCAGTTAGCTCTGACATTTCCAGTGGGAAGGGAAGAGGTGAGAAGATAAAGAACACCTGAGCGGGCTGATGAGGCAGAACAGTTTAAGTGGGGGAAAGGTCTGGCATTGCCTCAGAGCTGATGACCGGACTCCCCTGCTGCTATGTATTGTGGTCAGTGAGCTATGCGGATACTGCTCCTTGTCTTGATGGAATGGTAACAGATGTTGACATCTGGGACCACTTTTCTAGTCCTTTGCTGCCACAGCCTGGCAGAACTTCATTTGGCACTGAACAAATGCCAAAGTACCAGTGGGTGACGGAAGAGAACAGAAAACAAGGCAGCTGGAAGGTATGAGCAGGAGGGAAGTTGCAGCATTTTCAGATGAAAGCTAATTAAAGATACGGAAACTTTTTTATGGAGAACAAATTAGAATTGCCTTGCAGCACTCTTGAAATTGCCTCTGATCCCTATGTAGTGCTCTCATAAATTACAGTCAGACAACCCTGAGCCAGTGAACATCAATTTAAATAACTTTATTCAGAGGAAACCTTTGGTCCACTTTTGCTGACTCAATACCTGCCAATGCTGACAACGGAGTACTAAGAAAGGCAGGTTAGTCTAAATGTCTAAATTCACTTTGTTCAACTTTATAAAAGCAGGCAAAGCTACTGGGGGTTGCCCCCCTTCCCACCATCAATCTGGTCCACCATTTGGGCCACAGATTTAGGAAAATGAAGGAAAGCCATCCTGGCCAGAGTCAAGGAACTGGGCACTATTTTGAGGTCAGCTAAACCCTGATGGCAGTGTGAAGTGCAATTCTCTTCTCCCTCCAAAATAAGAACCATGAGTCTAGGGGAAGGGGCTTCTTCATGTGCTAAGGAAAAATGCTTTCCCACATAGTCCTGCTTGGCAGAGCCACTTCCTGAGAAGGCCTCGTGTGTACAGGGTGGGGTAAAGGATAGAGGACTTTGTGACTATTTGCCAGGTAAGAGCTGTGTTTGTTGGCTTCTCAGAGGATAGAAAGAAGAGCAGGCCCAAGCTTCACCAGAGCTGTGGATGGGCATTTTTTCTTCCCCCTGGCCCAGAAGCTTCTTCACCTGCACCTTAGAGGAACAGCCAGGATGAAACCCGGGCAGGAGGGCCTGCAAAGACAGTGTGCCTCTAAGAACACAGAGGTTGCTAGAGTTTCTGGCAGCACAAAATAAGCATAGCCTTATTTGATCTTGTGTCCATCAGTTCACCATTGACATGAGGCAGTTTCAGATCAGGGTAAGTTCTGGATCAAGGACTATGGAGGGTGGTGGGGAGAAGTAGCTATAGAAACTATAATTTATTGAATACCCATTATTTCATATACTGTGCTAAGCACTTTACATTCGTTTCCTCATTTTAATCCTCACAACAACCCTATGAGGTAGGTATTATCACCATTTACAAATGAGAAAACAAGCTCAGAAAAATTAGGTCACTTGTCCAAGGTCACACAGCTAGTCAGTGGTGGAGGTGGGATTTGTCTGTTGCTGAAAGCTCATGTTCTTTTTATTGTACCCATCTAGGTGAGCCTTGAGCAAAAGGTAATTTCACTGCCCAACTCTGCAAAGAGCACCAGGGAGTCGAGGTTGCCAGCCACACTCACCGCTGGTAGGGATGCATTGAAGCCGACTTGATGTTGGTTTTTATTCCACTTGGCATCTTCCCTGAAAGGAATGTGAAAAAAGACATCTCAAGCAAGGTAAGACTTTCACAACAAATCAGAAATGTGGTAATCTCAGGTTCCTTCTGTCACCTCCTCTATCATCTCAGAACCTCTGTGGCATCTGACCCTGTCTGGCAGAGTTCAGAGGTATGGTTCTTCACCCAGCTCTCTCCCTGAAGGTGTCCAGGAGGAAAGAAATGATATGGGAGAACAGTCTGCTCATCCACTCCTAGAAAAGATAGCTAAACCTGTGTGACCCCCATTTAATGTCACAGGTAAAAGAGTACCATGTTCTCTCATTGTTTTTCTTTTTCATATTGTAAGAACTGCAGAATCTCTCTTTGTTTTAATTGTCCCTTTTCCTAGACAGCCTGGAGGAAATAACTCTTCTAGCTGCTTGCATCTAAATTGTTCTAAAAATGAGTAGGAGACAAGGCAGAAAGCCAAGAGCAAGAGAGGCAGGATACAGAGAAAAGAATACATGTAGGACTGGGAAGCTGGCCTGCTTGTCAATTCCTGAGGCACCTACTAAATGGTCTCGATTAAGATCTGACCACTGATTTCTCTACCTAAGAAGAGACACTGACAACACATCTAATATCAGAATAAATGGGACAGAAGGATAGTTGACACAGAGATGTAAGATGGGGATGAGAGATGAGAGCAGTTTCTGTTACTCAAAGTTCTTCCTCACTCTCTGGTGCCCGTTGCAGAGTCTTAGATGAGATTTTTACTTCTGAAAATTATATCCTGGGTCACAGTGCAAAGGAGAAATGGAGAAAACTTCTAGGTCTAGAGATGCTGGAGGCCCAGATAATCTAGCTTATTCTCACTCCCCTGCTCAAAGTCAGCCTTATTTCAATGCCTGCCACCTTACCTGGTTGACCAGCTGGAGCCATTTGTACCCCACTGAGAATTGGCTGCTGCTGGCTTGGAGCTCCTGCCATCTGCACCTGCTGTAATCCTGAGGTTCCTGCAAGGATTGTCCCAGCTCCTGGCTGGCCTGGCTGGCCAGGACCACTGCTGCCTGAAGGTCTCCAATTAGACAGTCCTTTTCCAAAGGCAACAGCTGCCACCAAGGCATTAGTGTCTGTAGGGTTAAAGGTCTGCTTGTTTGGACGGAGACCTGAAGAAAAAGTAAGTGAGGATCTTGAAGTATGCCTCTGCTACAGGACTGAACCTGGCAGCTGGAAGACCAGTATGAGTGCCAGGGTTTGGAGTTCTGAATTCAGCAGTATCTAGACTCCCTCACAGCCCAGAAAAAGAGCCAGAGGACCCCCAAGCCTATCTCAGAATTCTCTCTTCTTATTTTGCCCATTTCCTCCACCTGCTTCAGGGCTGGCCTTAAATACAAAAGACAAACAGAATGGATGCAAATCCCTTCCTAAGCAGTTCACTCTTGAATCCTAACTTCACTACTCCCAAAATCACCATTCCTATTCCAGTGATCTTATACACCTCTCCTTCTCTGTTTTGCCACCAGTCCCACCATACCTCCACTCTCTGATTCTCGCTCCTCTTTGCTGATTTTCTCCAGAAGGTTTGAACACATTTTATTCAAGCTCTGGATCTGCTTCTGTAACACACAATTTTGTGCAGAGATTAGGGTAAGTAGGAAAAGATATGGAGAAATTTATTCCTGTGCTCTGCCAGAAGCAACTTAGGTGCAACCAACTATGTATCCCTACTAGACAGGAATGGTAATGTGTAGCTTCTCGTGATGGAATGGGGATGGGGCAGCAAGGCAGTGACTCAGTCCAACCTGGGCTGCATCTGCACCAATGCGGGCAGCATCTGTCGTCAGTTGCTTCTCCTGCTCTTCCACTTCAGGGTCAGGCTTGGTTCTCAGATGGTCCGGGACTACCTCATGACTGAAAACGGGCACCCGTCCTTCAGTCTGCCGCTGTAACACACAGATTTTATTGATCCTACTATGCACTCCAGGAAGATTCTATCTGGCCTTATATATGTTCCCATCCACAGGCAAACAGTGCATTTTCAAGGAAAATACAACCTGAGACATAATATTTAGCTTCCTAGGATACATCCTCCTTTATTCCATCCTTCATTTTTTTGTCTTCTCACATCCGTATCTCTACCAGACCTAGGGGCGAATTAAACTATCGCTGTCTGCCAAGTTTCAAAGACTGGAATAGACAAAGTCACAAAAGGATAGACTTTGTGGCTTGAGATACATGTTGGTGAAGAAAGTTATTGGCCTTGGTGACATTCCCTCAGATTATGATGATTTGGGAGTGGCTCTCCCACCTTCAGAAGAACAAAAAGCAAGGCCTCCAAAATTATTTCTAGGCTCCCAGCAAGTAATTTCCCTAAATACTGAAGAAGCCTAAAAAACCCCTTAATTTCACAAGTTGTATTCTTTTTCTCCTCTTACCATGAGATCTTCATCTCGGTCTGGAGACAACACCAAAGGGATGATGACCTGGTTACGGAACAGCGGTGTTTTTTCATGTTTCAAGACCTTGTTCAGAGTGTTTAACTGTCCAGAAAGCAAGGCAAAGCTGTCCAGGACAGAGGGCCTGGTGGTGGTAAGAAGGTGTCAGAATGTTCCACCCCTTCCCTGGGTGGTTCTTACTAAAATAGTCCTAGTTCCTTCAGGCTAGGAACACTCAGATTCATCCCCAAAAAGTCTCATACCCCTACGACTAGCCTAAGTGGGAATAGACTAACAGGGATGATAGGGCTATGAAGGAGGGATACACTTTCACGTTATGACACAGATGCAGAAAAAAGGCAGCTCATTGTTTGAATGGGGTGAGGAACAGTGGCAAAAAGCCTCCTTTCTAGCCTGGAAATAGGATCCACACTTCAGAATAGGTTGGATCTAAAGGACTCAGCCACATCTGTGGCAAGAGATCCAGCATGAATAGAGCTATAGTGGGAGGACTTCTTCAACAGAAAAGTCCAAGGGTAAGAATTGAAAGCTAGAAAGAGCTTGGGTTAAGAAACTGAGCATTTCTCTACTTCCTTGCCATGGAAGCCACTTGCTAAATGTTAGGAAACCCAGCTCTTTCCAAATCAAAAGATGTTTGCAAACTGATAAAATGATTACATCATTAGAAACGTCCTATTCATTGGGAGGCTAGGCCCCCACCCATAAGCCCTCCCTAGATTGCCCTTGCAATTCTTACCAGGTCAGCCGATCATACTCGTTCTCCAACTTGTAAATGAAACTCCCCAATGAGTTCTTCAGATCAGCCACTTGACTCAGCAGTGCATCTAATGATGCCTCAAGCTGCTTCTCCTCCCTCTGCACCAATAGGAACAGGTCGGTTACCCAGATAAATGAGTATGACACATAGAAAGAGGGGCTGAAAAGCCAAGGAGATGGTGTGCTACACCAGTCAGGTAACACAGGAGCTCACTGGCATACGATAGCCAGGTTGTTTTCTATCTTTGGTATTTGGGTTACAGACAGCATCAGCCCTGAGACCTTTCAACCTGTTTGCCTGACCCCAAGTTCTCCCACCAACTGATTCCTTTTTCCCATCACCTCCTAATCTATGCCTGGTTTTTCTCTGTATTAGGTACACCCTACTCTCCCTCACTGAGACATTTTTGAGAGACCCTAATGCCAGATCATTATCTCATGTGCACCTTTGTAGCACATGTACTCCAGCTTCCTCCGTCCTAGCATCTGTGAACCTGGCTGTCTTGTCAGTCTCTGCGAAATCGGCCTACTCATGAAGACTTCTCTGAATACTAGCCCTGCTCTCCCCTTTTCCTCCCCCCACCAACCACTCCACCTTTCCATCTGCTCTCAGCATTTTACATTTCAACCTTCTCCTTGCTGAATTAATGTGCACTCATCTATCTCTGTGTCAATATTTCCGTGCCTCTTTCACAAGCTCGGTCAACCCATTAACATTTATTGAGACAACCGGCTGCAAGAAACTGACAAATAAAAAACAAAAACCACACATGCTCCTAAGCACGGGATAAACAAATTAAAATATTGGGAGTCTGTAAAGCATTTCCTTCCCATCGGTGGTCTCCTATTTTACTCCATTTCTTCACCCTTAACAACTGCAGGGCACAGGCTGGGAAGAGTGATGCAAAACTGTCTCGCAAATCTGCTACAGTGCCTGACAGGAACTTGATCCTGGGTTCCACCATGGCCTCGGATTATAAGCTGCTTAGCTTTCAGCCACTGTAGCCCACAATTCCCTCACTGCTTGGGCTTCTCTCCAGTTAGATCCCCTGCTATATCGGCATCCAACCGCCTCCATCCAGCAGCCTAGGACAGGGCCTGAGCCAGCCCACCACCTTCTTGAGCCGTCTTCCTTGGACTGCATCTCAGCCTCCGCGTAATACAACCTAATCCTTTCCCACGCCAAGCAAATAGGTGCTGCCTCCTCCCTCCGGATTTGGCCCGACCATCTCCTGTCAGGTGAGCTCCACCCCCACCTCTTAACTGCGCCGCTCCCTCTCCAATTAGCCTCGCCCCCCAACCCACGTTTCCTAATCAGCCGCAGGTGCTGCCCTCTCTTCTCAGTCTCAACTCTTCATTCTTCTTAGCCAGCCCACTCTCGGTCCCTGTACCCTAACTGGCCAGCCGCTAATAGGCCCAACCTAGCTCTCACCTGCATTGCTGCGGCCGGCTGCTACGATTTCCACTTCCGGTTCTCCGTTTGATGAAACGCCTCTGAGAAGGCTTCGTCCACCAATCAGAAAACTGGAATTTGGCCCTCCCACCCACTTCCGGTTCCTGCTGGCTGCCGAGGTAGCCAGGTCAGGGGTCAAGAGTAGACACCTTCGCTGCCCTGGGCCGGCGCGGGAGGGCTGTGTGATGGCCTCGGAGCGCTCCGAGCCGGAGGTGAGGGGCAGAGGGGCGCAGCACTGGGCCCCGAGATCCGAGGGGGAGGGTCCGGCGGGCAGGCAGGCGTGGCACTGGCCTCCTGGGTTTGTGGGGGTGGCGAGGCTGCGTAACCTTGGCTGGGGGCTGCCCCAGCCCCAAGGGCCCGACTGTGGAACCCTGCGGACTATGGAACGCTGTTCGCAGTTTCCTCGGGGAGCTAAAGGAGTAACTCTTAGGTTTGTTTTGTTTTCTGAAATGTCATCCGCGTCGTCCACTCTTGGACCTAATGATAGTGGTATTAACAAAACCAAAACTTGTATTTTAACTTTCTGTTGCAGTTTCAATAGGCAACGCGGCAGTAGATTGACTTTGCCGGTTTTTGCATTTTTTTTTTTTTTTAAGCATTGGAATGCCATAAACAGCTTGAATTCATTTAGTTCTGGGGCTCATGCTTTTAGAAAAGCAGCTTTAGTTTCATGAAAAAAACATTTGAGTCGAACTGAGACCTCGTTCCAATATTGGCGCTGTCACGTAGTTATCTGTGCAACCTCCGGCGAGTCTTAACTTCCCGGATCCTGTTTCCTTCTTTATAAAATATATAGTGTGTTGTGAGGATCACATGTGATGAACCAGAAAAGGGATATGAGGTATTCGTGAGATGCTAACGAACATGCAAGGAAACATATATGTTGTGCCATTCAGACTTGCACAAGGAAGATGGCATTCTCACAGAGGAGAAAACTGAAAAATCAGAAAGATTAAGTGCCTGACTCAAATGCCACTCATCCAGGGAGTAGCGTTTTGGAGTTAGAAGATCTGAGTTTAAGGGCCGGGCGCGGTAGCTCAAGCCTGTAATCCCAGCACTTTGGGAGGCCGAGGCGGGTGGATCACGAGGTCAAGAGATCGAGACCATCCCGGTCAACATGGTGAAACCCCGTCTCTACTAAAAATACAAAAAATTAGATGGGCATGGTGGCGCGTGCCTGTAATCCCGGCTACTCGGGAGGCTGAGGCAGGAGAATTGCCTGAACCCAGGAGGCGGAGGTTGCAGTGAGCCGAGATCGCGCCATTGCACTCCAGCCTGGGTAGCAAGAACGAAACTCCGTCTCAAAAAAAAAAAAAAAAAAAAAAAAAAAAAAAAAAGAAGATCTGAGCTTAAAATCTCAGATTTGGATAAGACACCACCACTAGGAAAGGTACCAATATATTAGTAGGTGGTAAGGGTGAGGGATGTGTATAATGATACAAATAGTATTCATTACTGCATACTTACTGCGTGTTAGGCACCATTCTAAGTGCTTTACCAATATCACTTAATCCATTCAGCCCTATGAAGTGAACACTGTTATCATCTCCTTTTTTTAGTTTAGGAACTGAGGCACAGATATTAAGAGTAGCAAAGTAGGTGGGGCGCAGTCACTCACATCTGTAATCCCAGCACTTTGGGAGGCTGAGGCAGGTGAATCACCTGAGGTCAGGAGTTGGAGACCAGCCTGACCAACATCGAGAAACCCCATCTCTACTAAAAATACAAAATTAGCCAGGCATGGTGGCACATGCCTATAATCCCAGCTACTCAGGAGGCTGAGAGAAGAGAATCGCTTGAACTCAGGAGGTGGAGGTTGCAGTGAGCCAAGAACATGCCACTGCACTCCAGTCTGGGCAACAAGAGCAAAACTGTCTCAGAAAAATAAAAAGAGTAACAAAGTTACACAACTATTAAGTATTGGACTCCCAAACAGATGGCCAGGCTCCAGTCTTTGTATTCTTTTTTTTTTTTTTTTTTTTTTTTTTTTTTTTTTTTTTTTTTGAGACAGAGCAGAGTTTCCACTCTTGTTACCCAGGCTGGAGTGCAATGGCGCAATCTCAGCTCACCGCAACCTCCGCCTCCTGGGTTCAGGCAATTCTCCTGCCTCAGCCTCCTGAGTAGCTGGGATTACAGGCACGCACCACTGTGCCCATCTAATTTTTTGTATTTTTAGTAGAGACAGGGTTTCACCATGTTGACCAGGATGGTCTCGATATCTTGACCTCGTGATCCGCCCCCCTTGGCCTCCTAAAATGCTGGGATTACAGGCGTGAGCCCCTCACCTGGCCCCAGTCTTTGTATTCTTAACCATATTGTTTATAGTATAAATAGTAAGTTGACCACAGAATGGTAAATCTCCAGTTCACTGGGATTTGGTGTAGTAAGGCCCAACATTGAATAGGATAGTAGGAAACCATGCCTTATTTAAAATAATCAGTCATGTTCACAGAGTGGTAGAGTAGCCCATGTGTCAAATATCAAAATCAATCAGAAATATTAATACAAGAAAAACCATGAAACAATTCAGAGTGTTTCATTATAGATTAAAGTGAAAGGAAGTGGAGGGCTGTTGTGGGAAAATACAACATATCTTTTAGGCAGATAGTCTAGAATGGCACCATCCTATAGAAATCTAATGCAAGCCACGTGTGTAATACTAAGTTTTCTCATAGCCACATACAAAATAAAAAACAAATGAATTTTAATTATATATTTAACCCAAAACTCCCATTTTCAAAATGTAATAAAATGCAAACCATTATGAGATAGTTAACTTTTTTTTTATACTAAGTCTTTAAAATCTAGTGTTGCAGTTTGCACTTACAGCACATCCCATTTTGGTCTAGCAACATTGTAAGTGCTCAGTAGCCCCATATGGTAGTCTTTACTATATAGAGCAGTGCAGATCTAAAGTAATTTCAAGTCAAGACACACAATCCTGAGAGTCTCATCCAGCCAAAAGTTAAGCATTTTTTAAGTTCCTGATTTGCATTTCTGAAAATTTTATCAGAAAGTAAAGAGATTGAAGAGTTCTGTCCCTGGGTGTTATAAAGTGATTGATTTTTAGAGACTGTTAGGATCCCAAGAGAGAAAGACTGGGCATAGTCAGATTTAGAAAATCATTCATTCATCATACACTTGAAATATTTTACAAGGGCTGCTATGGAGTCAGAATTGTGCCAAGTATCAAGTTGGATACCGAGCAGTGTAAGACAGACATTCTCCCTATCTTTATGGAGTAAACAAGGATTGAATTAGGTTAATAAGTGCTGTAAAGGAGTGAATTAGGGTGCTTAACAGGGATTCTTAATCTACCTTGTTAAGAAGTCCGGGCTGGGCGTGGTGGCTCACACCTGTAATCCCAACACTTTGGGTGGCCGAGGTGGGTGGATCATGAGGTCAAGAGACTGAGAATATCCTGGACAACATGGTGAAATGCACCCCCTCCCACCATCTCTACTAAAATACAAAAATTAGCCATACATGATGGTGCACACATGCAATCCCAGCTACTCGGGAGGCTGAGGCAGGAGAATCGCTTGAACCTCGGAGGCAGAGGTTGCGGTGAGCTGAGAACGGGCAGTTGCACTCCAGACTGGGCTACAAGAGTGAAATTCCATCTCAAAAAAAAACAAAACAAAACAAAAAAGAAGTGGCGAGGTGAGGGGTTGTGGATCAGGAAGACTCAGAAGAATGACATTTAAGCTGAAACCTGAAGAATAGGTAGAAGTTACCTAAAAGAAGAGGCAGAGAGCATTGCAGGCAAAGGGAATAGTGAAGATTTCAGATGAGAAGGAGCCCATTGGAGCCTTCAGAGAACTAAGAGGAAGCAACTCCTAATGTGGATGCAGTGTGACAGTGAGAATAGCTAACACTTATTGAATGCTTACTATCATCTGATGCTCAGAAATTATCTAAAAGAAGTACTTTTATTATCCCTGTTTCACAGACAAGGAAACTGAGGCGTAGAGAGTGTAAATCTCTGCCAAAGCCATATAGTTAATAATCAGCGGAACCAGTATTTGATCCTAGGTGCTCTAACACTAGAATATGTGCTTTTAACTGAGGGGGGATTGGTGAGAGAAAAGGCTGGAGAAGATGCAGCTTGAGGCCATGCTAGAGGCTCAGGGCTTCAACATATAGTGGCAAGGAGATTTTAGCCAGTTCAAGAGGGGAAATAATTCACATTATTTTGTGGGAGTGTGTTAACAGAAGACAGCACAAGGGTTAGAAAAGACTTTTAAAAAGTCACACCTTTATCACAAAGGGACAGGTACAAGAAAAGCAACAGATTAATGAGATGGACCATGCTTCATTTATCCTGGTATATATGGTATGTAGCACAGTAACTGGTAATGTTTTATTTATCTTGATATAAATGGTATGTAGGCCTCAATAAATGTTCCAGATGATGATAGCCTTTCTCTCCTGTTTAATTGCAGCAACATTCCTATGAAGATATTCCTTTTTTTTTTTTGATATGGAGTCCTGCTATGTCACCAGGCTGGAGTGCAGTGTTGCTATCTCAGCTCACTGCAACCTCTGCCTCCCAGGTTCAAGCGGTTCTCCTGCCTCAGCCTCCCAAGAAGCTGGGACTACAGGTGCACATCACCATGCCCAGCTAATTTTTGTATTTTTAGTAGAGACAGGGTTTCATCACGTTGGCCACGATGGTGTCAATCTCTTGATGTCGTGATCCACCCACCTCAGCATCCCAAAGTGCTGGGATTATAGGCATGAGCCACCACATCCAGCCTATGAAGATTTTTATCCACATGCTATCAACGAAGAAACTGAGGCCTGGCAAAATTAAGTAATTTGTCCAAAGTTACCTAGATAGCAAATGATAGAACCAGATTTGAATCCAGGTCTCTGATTTGAATCCAGGTCTGATGAGTCTTCCTTACCAGACTACTGAGAGTCATGAACTTCAGACTCAAGGGAGATTAATGTTGAGGACATGAAGCTCCATGTGAGTGTGGATGCTCTGAGAACTAATTCAGGGATTCTTATCTATCTATCTATTTATTTTGAGACTGAGTCTTGCTCTCACCCAGGCTGGAGTGCAGTG